GGGGGGTTAACTTCTCTGAGTTGTCCTGGCCTTAGTAATAAATACATTGAAGCCACTTGAAAACCTTTGCATACTTAATCTCCAAACAGGAATTGCCATATGACTGTGGAGCTTATAAAGATCTGAACTTACTGAGCAAACTACTGGAGAAAGGAAACTAGACAGAATCACACAGACTAGACTGCAGCCTGAACTCCTTGTGAGGGGGCAGGTGGTCCTGAGCTACTAAGAAAACCAGCTCAATGAATGAAGAGCAGGAGAACTAGCTTGATGCACTAGTCCTCCCTGGTTTCTGCCTCACGTTCCTGCCTTGAGGGCCAGCCTGACTTCACCAATACCTGAAAGGGTAAGCAGAAACAAAACTCGTTTTTGCCCAAGTTGTTTTTGGTCAATGTTTTGTCATAGTAACAGATACCTAAGTTTTTGTTAGTGTTTACTAGCAATTTGCAGCACTGAGGAAAAAATACAATTCTTAGAAAAAGTGGTTACAGTCAACAAACCTGAAGTGAAAAACACTCAACAGACTATGTATCCAACAGCTCCCTGCTTCACTTTGTTAATTTATATTAGGATCCTTTCCCCTACACCGGGCCTTTTCTTCACCTGTTGCCTGAACACTGTTGGTCAGTTTGGTATAGATTTCTTGCCCCTACACCCGGCCTTTTCTTCACCTGTTGCCTGAACACTGTTGGTCAGTTTGGTATAGATGTTTTAAAAGTCTTTTAGTGTGTTTAGAGCTTTCTTAAATTTATTTATTTATTTGTCTGTTTGTTTGTTTTTTGAGACAAGGTTTCTCTTTGTAGCTTTGGAACCTATCCTGGCACTCCCTCAGTAGACCAGGATGGCCTCGAACTCAGAGATCTGACTGCCTCTGCCTCCCAAGTGCTGGGATTAAAGGAGTGAGCCACTAATGACCGGCTGGAGCTTTTAATATGCTAATATGCACAACATTTCTCACAGATAATAGGAATAACATGTGATACCTATGGAATATTTAGTACTTGCTGGCTAAGTACAAGGATCATTGATGAATACTGCATCCCCATTAAACACAGAAGACAACTAGAATTAAAATTAATTTGCCCAGGTAGTATAGTTATTTAGTAAATGAGGATTGAAACCCCAGTCTGTCTGATGCTGGAGCTAACGCTTTTAATGAGCATGCTGCATTATCTCCAAACATAATTATCAAGCATTTTCCAATGTGGTTAATGATGGAATCTGAAGGGAACAGCATCCACTAGCATTTACTGGAACTTGTATTGTCTAGATGGTTTGAGAGACACTTCCTTATTCCCTGTAGCAATTTGCTAAAAATATGAGATTAAAATAGATTTAATACTTATCTGTATGTACATACATGCACACATAAGAACTTGATGGAGAAAGAAAAAAAGGGCAGAGAAGGCAATACATCCAATATATTTTTGTACTTTACTGATGAAAACAAAAACCTGCTTTCTTTACTAATAATAAAAAATTGAAAAGGCATTATAGAAATTGTTTCATGACATTAATTGTGTCCTAACTTGTAATCATAATTTCATGAAACACAGAGAGCCATTAACATATGAAGCTCCTTACACACAATATCAAGTACATGATTTTAGAGCACACATGAAAGAGTAAAACACAACATAAGCTATGACTTTTAGAGATTCCTATCTTTGCTGTATTTTTCATCACCTCAGTATCTCCTTAGTTGAAATTCCTACTTCATCCAAGTTACTTGTGACTTCTTTTAACCACCAATTACTCTGGCACCAGGTTCTAAAAGTTAGAAAACCAATATTTTTATCAAAAGTTAATGGAAATGAAAGTTTTACATGTAGACTTTTAATTTTACTTTATAGCACCAGAGTTCTACACAAATTTGGAAATGCCCCTCTCTGAATTCCCAATTTCACTACTTCAGAGTAACAATTATGTAAAAACATGTTTTTCTTAGATATAATACCTCTCAGCACTCAATTTCATCACATCTACAACGCTATCAAGTATAAAATGGCTTCACAACACGCTCTATTGTTGTAGTTTCATTTATACATACAGCAACAGCATATACGATTGAAATTCCTTTACACATAGATTGTAGATTCCAATGCTCTTTATCCCTCCCTTAGACACATTTTGATGGCATTCTCGGTTGTCAACCTGACTACATGTGGAATTAACTATAAGCAGCTGGGCACACCTATGAAGGATTTTTTTCTTAATTATTAGACCTGAGAAGACCCACCTTTAATCTGGGCCACACCTGCTGGCAGGTTACGTAAGGGACATAGAAGTAGGAAGCTTGCTCTCTTTGCCTAATTGTTCTCACTCCATTCCTTCATTGGCATTAGAGTCTATTTCTTTGGAATTCTGTTGCATACTTAAGACCAGCTGAAAATTCAGTGGCATGAACTGAACAACTACTAGATTCCTGGACCTTCCATTGGTAGACAGCCACTGATGGACTAGCTGGACCACAATCTGTAAGCCATTCTAGTAAGTCTAATATATATTTATATTTACTGGAAAACGTTCTTGTTTTATATTACTACTTAGTTTTCCTGTATTTCTGAATACACAGTAACTTCATTTTAACTCTAAATCATAATCACTGAAAGTATACATAAAATAGAAATTATTCTTAATAGCTACATACCAACATGGCACACAACAGAATATCAACATTAACACTTCGGATGAATTATTTATAAATGACACAATGAAAACTTTGTCACCATTTACAACGATCTTAAGATGTCAATAACATTAAAATATATTCCAATTAAAGATACATAAATATAAGGAAAGATGTGTTTCAATATTAGTAGTAATCATAGCAGTATCTTTTTTCTCTTGTTCACTTCAGTCCTAATTTTACCTTCCAAACATTACCCCAATTGCTCCATAATCTAACTGCCAAGTTATTGTACAGAAACATGGTACAGTACTTATAGAATCACTTTAAAATTCCTGCTGGTATTTAACACAATGTATCAAAAGTCAGAATTTAAAGGTAAGTATTACAATTAAATATGAGAACAATATACTTCAGAAACAAACTATATTTAGCAATTAGCATCAATCCCACAGGTAATTTTTGTTTTGTTTTGTTTGTTTTTCGAGACAGTGTGTCTCTGGAGCATGTCCTGGAATTCACTCTGTGGACCAGGCTAGCCTTAAAGTCACAGACATCTGTCTGCCTCTGCCTCCCGAGTGCTGGGATTAAAGGCATGCGCCAAATTCACCTGGCATCCCCTTCACAGCTAACTTTTTACACCAACCTTTGCTAAAACCCTCAGAAAGCCTAAAAGTGTTTTCTGTGAAAGTTCCTATTTATTCTAGATTTTTTTGGCCCCTAAACAGAGTTTTCTCTTTACTAATGAGGGCACAGGAAGTCATAGAGATATTAAATGATGACAATGAAGTGAGAAGGTGGCTATAGGACTGATTACTATGAAATGATAACCCATATTTTATGTTATAGCTAATTAATCTAAAACCCTTTCTCCCAGTAAAATGTACGTGACTGTCTTACTGTACAACTGAACTATCTCTATTAGTGCAGTTTTTTCAAGACTTGGTTTTTCTAAATAACAGCTCTGGCTACCCAGTACCTCACTTCATAGCCCAGGCTGACCTGGAACTCACAGAGATCCACTTGCCTCTGCCTTTTCAGACTAGGATTAAAGGTGGGCACCACCACACCAAGCTTCCACCACACTATCTCACTCACTTCTAATTCAAGAATGCAGATAAGATACTTTAGTTGGCATTCCATCTTTACCTTGTAAGATGTCATCGTTACTTTATAGACTTGGAGAAATCACGTGTCTTGTCTAGACTCATTCAAGTTTCAAATGGCAAAACCACAATCTTACGTTCATCATTCTAAAAGTTACAGAAGTCATTTAATGTGTTTCCCAAAGCCTACTTAGTGAAAATAAACCGTCATTCATAGTTCCTTTGTGTATGTTCACTGTGTACCCCAAGAAAATGACTGGACACATCTTAGTACCTGTCTTGAAGTCACTATTATGTTTCCTTCAAGAAAACAAAAGCCTTCTGATTACCTTAATTACTTCTGTCCTCAGTCTACTGACTCAAGAAATTGGATAACATCACTTGGCTATTAAAATCCTTCTAGTGGCTTTCCCTCCCCTACCTCACCCGGTATTTAGCCTGCCGGCTCTCTGACTGCCTTCCATCTTTGATTCCTTCTCTCAATTCTGAGCCCCCAGGCTTCCCTGATATTTTGTTTCATGGCCTTTGGAATGGCTGGGCCTTCTGACTGATGGCAATTCCTGAAGTTTATCTATCTGCATGTTCATTTCATCTGTGTCACCTCCTTCCTAGAAAGCCATCTTTTCCTTGAGAACCTTCTTCTTTGGCCACATTACAGTCCCATATAACAAACCTTTCTTTACTGTTAATACTTTTTCTGATCGGTATTTATAATCTAAAATACGGTATGGGTGCTGGAGGGATCGCTCAGCAGTTAAAGGCGCTTACTGCTGTTGCAGGGAACCCAGGTTCAGTTCCCAGCACTCACAATCACTGGTAACCCAGTTCCGGGGGACGGCCTGGTGCTTTCAAGCCTCCGTGGTCACCTGCAGACAATTTTGCACAGAAACTCGGTCAGGCATGCATACACCCCCATAAGTCAATATTAATGTCTCACTTTTTAAAACCTAAGCTGAGAGGCCATGACTGGAATTTCTGTCCGTTCTGTTGATTTTCCTTCCTACTTTGCTTTTGCATCTTTACCTCATGACTAAAACCTTGCCTGGAGTGTAGTGATAGCCGGCGCTTCTAAGACTTGCGGAATCCATGAACTGCCCTCTTTAACACACACACACACACACACTGGGAATCCTTCGCACGCCCACTTAGGAGTAAAGGAAATGGGGAACCCA